ACACTTTTGATAAACAAAAACTATAGAAGCATAGATTGGCTTCTTCCTTGTTGCCTGAAGCTTCAACTGCTCTCCTTTGGTAATATGGTGACCTGGCAGATAGAAACATGGGCTAAGAAGAAGGAATAAAAAAGTTAGAAGAACCTGAGTCCCTGATGACATCCTGGAATTCTCTCCCTCTGGACTGCAATGGGCTGTCTGCCTCTAGATAATTTTAAAAGGGAGAAAAACCTAAATCTTTATCTTGCATTAACTGCTGTGGAATGGAATCTAATAGATACAGCAATCTGGATTCATAGATAGATTTTGAGTTTCTTCTTTGCATCCAGTGCTCAACTGAGTAAAGTGTGGAGACAATGAGTTATTTAACAAAAAAGAATTATCAATTCAAACTGATAAGTTCTGGGTTCTTTCCTTTATTAGAGAATAAGGTGATTACACATTTTAAAAAATGATCCTTACTAGTAGAATGATTTAAAGTATGCATCTGGCTTACGTTTTTCCAAAGGGATGGATGTTTGAAATATGTAGTTTATAGAAAAAAGTGAATTCAAAGACTGATAGGTGACAAAGGCATAATTTTTCAAATTCTCTTTTTAAGAAAGTTGGCTCTTGGACTAGTGATCAACATGGAGCTTGAATGAGAGGTAGAAATGTGTAGCTAGAAAGTTCCTGAGGAAAAATTTTCCTATTTGGGAACATTCCTTGGAAATTCACTTGATTGTGTGGTATGTCCATCCATTTCTACTCTTTTTCTTTTGTTCCAAGTGTCTGGCATGAGAACTACAAAAACAGAGCTATTTTTACCAAGATCCTTTAGAGAAAGAGTTCATTCTAAGTGAGATAGAAGTATCAGGGAGCCATATTTACTCTTTTCCACGAAGTGATCCAACACAGAAAAATCTTTGAAAAGCTTATAAAAGCAGCCTATAAAGTCTAGCAAACACAGATGTGCTATCTTTTCTTTAAGTGTAAAAAGAGGAAAGGTATAGTTATGTGTTTTAAAGTGTTCTCTAAATTTTATATACCCTTCCAATGATTAACTTTCTGACTCTTTATCCTTTGCAAATTAAATAAAGTATACAAGTTTATCATGAAAAAAATGCAAATACATATTAACATAAAAGAGAAAAAGTGAATTTAATTAATTAATAATGCCATTACTCTAAAACTGAATGAAGATGATATAATTATTGTGGCCCATGACTTTCTACTAATAACAAAATAAACATTTTACATCTTAAATATTTCTTGTAATCTCCACATAGTTTGGGCATTATGTTCTGTTAAAATAATAGAAAAGAAATTACTTATAAGGGTGCCTCCTACATTCATTGCTCCTTCATAATATTAATTTTTGAGATATATCCAAGTCTTTGGCCTGTGTGGACATGTAGCAATTCTGAAAGTAACTACATGAGACCTAGGCACAGTGCCCGGGAGGAGTGAATGGCACAGAAGAGATTTTACTGAATTTGACATTAGTAAACCTGGTCCCTTTACTCACTTTGTATGACGATGGACCACATTCTTGGTTCCTTTGGATATCATTTATGAAATGAATATGAGACTCTATACTCTGTCACTGAGTTTTTGTGAGGATGGACTAAGAGAATATGTCAAAGTATTTTATAAATGATGAAGAACTTTCAAAATAAAAATGAATCATGATTAGATTAACAATATTTATATTAAGAGACAATAGAACAAATGATAATATTACCAAAGATAATAGTATTAAATTGATTACAAATTTTGTTAATAATGTTAACTCCATACATACTATGTATAAAGCATTATCCAGATTTATATCATTTGCTCTTCATAGCCATTCTGATGAAAATATCATTAGCTACATTTTATAGATAAGAAAAATCAGGGTGGGAAGATTAATTTACACAAGTTCATATAGTTAGTAAGTGATAGAATTTATATTTAAAAATCAAGTATCTAATTCCAGACTCTGGGTATTTTTCATTATAGTAATAAATGACAGTACCTCCAACTAAGTAAGCTTTTTGTGCGTCTTTCATTTTCAGTAAATTGGAGATATAATACTACTGATCTAAACTTTTAGGTTGTCGTAAATAGTAAATAAGTCAATACCCATAAAGATTTATAGCATGTCTGGCACAAAGTAAGTGGTTTATAATGTTAAATATTATTCATTTTAATATTGTTAATAAGAGCAAAAAGTGTGGTGATGAGTTTTCAAATCTAAACTTATTAAACTCATATTTTTATTCAGTTTTTTCACATAATATTGCTTTCCTGTGTAACCTACATGCTAATTTTTCCTGAAATACAATACATAATGTTTCATTCTATAAATAAATTTTACTTTGTGAGGGAATTAGTTGTAACTGAGGGAGAGTAAATGCTTGGTCAGGTTAACACGGGTTTTAAGGTAGCTCATAAACACCATGAATCATAGCTGAAAGTAGAAAATACTTTCTCTTTTCATTTCCCCCAAGGATACCACTAACCAGCACCTATTTAAAAATATTACGCTGCCGGCACTGGAGGTTAATGCTATAAGGTCAGGTTGAAACGCAGAGTTGGTGGTTCAAGCTCACCAGCTACTCATTGGAAACCCTATACAGGGTCACTATGAGTTGGAACCAACTCGACAGCCCTTAACAGCATTATACTTTATATTCTGTAGTTTTTAACAAACCCATATGTTCTTACTGCTATTTCTAATTCTCTTTCTATTTCCCTTTCATTGGGATGTAGTTTGGCTTTGATAAATTATCATATATAAATTGTAGTGTTGTTGTTTTTAAGTGCCATCAAGTTGGTTCTGACTCATAGCGACCTGTATAGGGTTTCCGAGGAGGGGCTGGTGAGTTTGAACCACTGACCCTGCAGTTCAAACCAACTTGCAGTCCAGTACTTATCCTATAGTGCCAAATTGTAGTGTTATTTCAAACAACCTAATTCTATGGGAAGAACTGTGAATCAGCTATAGCATTTAGGATTGTAAGAAGAAACTGAAAAACTAGAGACTGCATAAATTGTACTACTTTTGTAACTCAAGAAGGTGAACTTTGAGATTGATGGAAATATTGCCTTTTTTGACTACCTTTTCTTGAGCTCATTATTGATCTCATCTCACGAAACTTAAAAGGCATACACCCTGGAAATGGGATCTAGGGCTAGAAAATATATCAGTGGATGAACTATAATTCTGATAAGTCTCAATGGCAGATTTCTGCAAAGTCAAATTGACCAAGGGGCTTGACAATTTCTCACATCAAAGAAGCAGATAGCTCTTCTACCTGGAATGTCCATGCCAAAACTTAAAAATACATTCATACCTTTTAAATGGGATAATCTATCTCTTTCTCCGGAAAATGTTATAAGATAAAAATGCTAAAAGGAGATTTGCTATATGTATATTGTATTCTTATATCCTTGATATTCTGGGAGAGTTCTGTTTTTGGATAAGATGATGAGTTCTAATTTAGGTTTGAAAATATCACCATGGAAAATCTTCATGAAGATTGTATTCAGACATTTTTCACATAAAATAAGTGGAAACAACTTTGATGTCAAATAAAAGAACTGATGGTATATGGAAGGAATATATGGGAATATTTAATAATTTTACCCATGGATGCTTAGTATTAGTTCTGTAAGTGATCATTAGTGTCTAGTGGTGGAATTTCATTTTTTTCTAATCCTCTTTCTGAAAATCCCCTTTCTTACTATCTTTTACAAGTCAGGTTCAAGCTACTCGAAAGGAAAACCTTACTTACAGGGAAATGTTCATCTTAACTCATGAAATTCATAGTTCATACCATATTGGTTTAATAAAACAATATTGTTAAAAAAGGATAATTAAGAAACTTTCCATACAAGAAAACAAGCTTGACATTATACTAAATAAAACAGACCAAGTGAAAACAAAAGAGTTGTGCTAGAATCATTGAATTCTGGATTCTTTTTTGCTTTAAATTTTTTTTTTTTTATGTTACAATATTGGTCAACAATAAATAATAATGATAGTTCAACAATAAATAATAACTATTTTACTGTTCGTTAACAAATTTAGTACTACTAATTCATCCCCCAGAGAATCATTTCCCTCTCCAATGTTTGGGAGATGATAGTCTCATGAAAATCTTGATGAACTGATTCATGAAGCTTCTGGTGATATCTCATTTAGATAAAATATTAGGCAACCAGAATATTACATTTATTAATATTCTGAATTGTGTTTGTTGTTAAGTGGCGTTGAGTCGATTCCGACCCATAACGACCCTGTATAGGGTTTCTGAGGAGCAACTGGTGAGCTTGAACCACCGACTTTGCAGTTCAAATGGCTTTGCAGTCTGGCTCATTAACCCACAGTGCCACACCAGGACTCCTTGAATTATGTTATTGTAAATTAAAATTAAAATTTTCAAATTAAAATGTGCCCTTTAGGAGATTAAAATTAGGTAATGTGAAAAGAAAAAACACATGGATGATGTTATTAGGGTAGACTATTATCCCATAGAAATTTTGTATAAATTGCTTTCTATGGGTTTGTTTATCAGGAATGATCATAGCACCCAAATAACAGAGTCAAATATAATAACAACAATTAGAAAATATATAGTTTCCTTTTTTTATTTGCAAACATTCAGCAAAACAACAATAACAAAAAAAGTTATAATTTTATACATCTTTGAACTATAATTTCAAGTTATCAAATAGGACAGGAATTTTTATCACAGAGCCATTAAAAAAACTATGACAAAATATCTGATGTGTATATTCTTTTGTTAATACACAGTTGAACTGCCAAAGGGGAACTTGACAGTTCAATTTACCCACCTAATTTGACCATTTTATAATTATAAATGGTCTCATAGATGTTTAATTTAATAAACGAATCAGATCAATATCACTAAATACAATATCTTTATCTAAAGATCTGGATAATTATATAACTTGGATTATTTTTTGTTAGACCATACTGACCTAATCATGTAGGAATCATGTAGTATGGCTCAGATTATGTTGGACCTTCCCAGAAGTTTCCTCAAAGCTGCTTTCATATCTTTATTCCGGAGACTGTAAATGAGGGGGTTGAAGAGTGGGGTAACCATAGCATAGAACAAGGTTGCAACTTTCTGCATCCCAGCAGAGTGTTCAAGTCCTGGGCTCACATACATGACCATCAGGGAGCCATAGAACAGTGATACTACGGCCAAATGCGACCCACAGGTTGAGAAGGCTTTATGTCTCCCAGTGGCTGAAGGCATACGCAGTACAGCTAATAGGACAAGAGTATAGGATCCAAGGATGAAGAAAAAGTTACCAAAGATAACTAATGAGCTTAGAGTATAGCAAAACAATTGGATTGTTGGGGCAGAAGCACATGCCAATGCAAACAGTGGCCCTGGATCACATACAACATGGTCAATAATGTTTGGGCCACAGAAGGGCATCTGAGAGATGAGAACAATGGGGACCAGGAACCACAGAAATCCACAAACCCAGCAGACAATAACTAATTTGGCACAGAGATGTCCAGTCATGATATTAGGGTAGTGCAAGGGACGACAGATAGCAAGGAACCGATCAAAGGACATGACAGCCAAAAGAAAGCACTCAGATGTACCCAAAGAGAAAAAGAAATAGATTTGGAGAAAGCAACCAGTAAAGGAGATGGTCTTTGTTTCTGAGAGAAAGTTGACCAACATCTTGGGGACTGTAGAAGAGACATACCAAATCTCTAGAAAGGAGAAATTCCCCAGGAATATGTACATAGGGGTGTGGAGTCGCTGGTCACACCACAATGCACAAACAATGGCCCCATTTCCTGTAATGGTCAGGACATATGTTGTAGTGAAGAGTGAGAAAAAGAGTACCTGAATATGCCACTCAAAAGAGAAACCTAGGAGGATAAACTCAGTGACTGGACCAAAACTGGAATCTGGCTTGGAGGTATTCATTTGGGTCAGTAATCTGCAAAATTAAGAGACACATTATTGTAGGTTTATAATGCATTTATTTTTAAGAACAAAGGGAAGGTAGTGAACATGTCATTTGTTAAAATAACAAATCAATTAAAAGGAAAACGTAGTCTACCTTTTTTTGGATCATATACTCTGAATTTAAGGTACAGCAGACAGCTGTCTGCACAGAAACAAACTTTTGCCGATTTCTTTACTTCTCCCTTGTAATGCTACCAGGATAGAACAAGATAACATTAAACACATTGTGTAAGCTTGTTATTTTGTGGCAGGGATGTTCTATGATCATTTCAGACTAGAATTAGCACAAAGTTAGCATATAATAAATGCATTAGTTTTTTACCTAAACTCATCCTGTAACGCAATAGCTCAGGTAAGGAGGTCTTAAGTATAATATGACACTTTATATCTCAGTTAGAGATGTTATTTAATTTATCATGTAAGATGCAAACAAAATGGATCTAATTTACAGTAACTTGACATTAATTCCTTTAAAATGAAAAAAAAAAAAATCCTGTGGCTGTTAGCATTAACATCGTACAAATGAAATTCCATATTAATACTTACCAACATTGACTTTTAAGATTGAAATGTTGCAATATCCTCTGTAGATAACAATGGTTTTAAGTTTATGCTTAATCTTTCAGTTTTGTAGAAATTTGTACAATGAAAGTTAGGTTTGAGGGTTTTTTTTTTTTTTTTTGATGATATTTAACCTCTATTTATGGTTGATTTTCCTTTATGCTTGAGCAAAATTAAATGAAACTTTTCCACTACTGAAGCTAGTGAAGGCTGATAAAAGTCAAATAACGTTCTTTACTCATAAGTAGACATTCTTCATTCCATATTTTCATGGAAAAGATGTAAGGGATGAGAATTCTATGATTTTTTGTGTGTGTTTAATAATATTCAGTGATGTGAGTCAAGGAAAGTTGCAAGCACTTACATTCTGAGACAAAATTTTCAAAAGGAGTTCTTTCGCCAAGCAACTCTCCACTCCAATTCTCTAGGGTGTCCTTTAGAAGTTTTAGAAGTAAATGGAAGAATATTTTTGCTTCTTTCACTAACATGTATCTCTTTTGAAAATGCCCTAAACCAGGAGCATTATGAAATTAGCATTAAGGAATTATGGAATGAAAGGGGATGTTAGGACATCAGCAATGCTCAGAAAATGAAACAATTACAGCTTTGATTTTGATCAAATCTCTAAAGGAGCTGTTTGATAAACCACATGCTTCTGTCTCCAGCTCAATGGAGAGTTTTATTGCTGCACAAAAATTAAGACCGAACTTTTCCTATCACATGCTCACCTGGGACTTGGCCTCTAAAGCATTAAAAAAGTTTTTCACCAAGCCAACAAATGTTTAAAAAGTTAATGACTATATATGCTCTCTGAGGAATAAGTAGAGAGGTGACAATTTTCTGTGTCACCACTATTTGCAAATATCTTGTCCTTCTGAAATATGGATTCCAAGAATATCCAGACAACATAGTTTGAGAATCTCCAAGTTGCAGTGTTAGTTCAGAGGTGAAATTGAGAAACATTTCAAATTTCACTGTTGATTCATTTGTGAGAAATAACTCTTGTTGGCAAGTCCATCTTCAGGACTAAGGGAAGGCTTGGGAGTAGTAGGCTAGCATAACAAAAGGAGCTCAGTAGAGGCAAAGAACTAGTTTGACCAGCTAGGAACATTAAAATAAGAATACACCCATCGAGTAAAAGGGAAGTTCATAGGGAAAGGAGGAAACTAACTTTAAATGAGAATGCTCCCTGTAAGGACCAGTAGGTGACCTTGGGAGGAGCTTGTGACCTCATAAAACCCAGTAGAAGGGGAGCAGGAGAGGGATGGTTTTTAAGACAGGGGAATGAAACTGTTTACAGGCTGGCCATGTGGATAGTCTGCCCATGTCTACTGCGTTAGGCACCTGGTTTCGCAAAATTGAATAAAGAAAACCTCTCTCTTGCTAAAATGAGTACAGATTGGATTACTTGAGCGTTTTTCAGTATTGACAGTGTTTCTCACAAGTTTGGGGGCCCATCCAGGATTTTATGCCCTCTTGGAGCAGAATCCCTGGTGGAAAAGGAGACATGTCCTGCCTTGGTTTGGGCAGCCTACTCCACAAGGGTGCTTACTCCCAGTGAGAGCCAGAAAAAGACCTGAGACTGTTAAAAGATGATTAGAATTAGCAATAGTTACTTGAAGGACTGAGAACAGAGTAACTGTGATGACTATGTAGTCTCTGCACGGGCCAGGGTGGAAAAACTGCACTTTAAGTATTGCCTTGGTGCTCAGGTGATACTTGCAGTCCAACTCAAAGTCTGAGTTTGCACATTCAAGGTGAAAATTAAATGTGAGTCAGGCATCTTGGATGCAGAGCGAGTGTGGATTTCCAATCTAGTCAGACAGACATAGCAAAATCTCAAGGTTGTATGTAAGAAACCTCCATGAGTACCAGAACCAGGGAAAATATTGGGGGTTGTGAATCCAGGGGAACTCAGACCAAGACCAATAGGAAATGGGGAATGGAATTCTAGGCCTAGGGAAGAAGGAAGAAAGAGAGACTCCCACATATATTACTACTGATAATCCTTTGGCGAGAATGTTAAGAGTTTGTGTGGACAATCCTTAAGCATGGGAAAAAAGCTGGGCTACACAAGAAACTTCTAGGAAATAGCAGAGCTGAGTGCCCAGGGAATAAGACTCTAGTCTGGTTAGTAGAGGGGAGTGGAATGGAGTAACAAACCCATTGATGAACTGTTAAGAGAAGCTTAGAAAGCTTTTGTAATAAGAAGGAGGAACAAAGATAGAATGCCAGAATCATGGCATCTAACTGTGAATAAAATACTTAATAAGAGATTAGAACAAGTCCCCTCCCCGCCTCGAGGGAAGTAGAACAGTGATTACAGTGTCAGGCCTCCTCAGAGGAAAGGGAGGAGAGGACTGGGCCAGGTCCCCAAGTCCACCAGTGGATGGATGTTATAAGTATAGGAAGACAGTCCATTTCAAAAGAATCCAGAGACTAGAAGGGAAGAAAAGATAATTTCCCTCATGAAACTAGGGATCAACATTTGAATCTTTTTAATTGGGGCCTAAATGTAATATTGGTGTTAGGATTAGAGAAGACAAGGGGAGGGTAAAGGTTAACATGAGACCTCTGACTGAAGAGGAGGAAGGAAAGATTGACTCCTAGTCATGGTTTAAAATTAAAAGACAATAGGGGAGGGCTAGAAATTCTACCCTTGTGGGTAGAACTAGAATAAAAACCAGGGGAGGTAGTCCATAGAAGATAGTATCCTATCCCAATAGAAAGATAAAGAGACTTTTTTTGGTATGGTAGCTTTCAAATACAATTCTTAAGATAAATATAGACATAGACTATTTGAGTTTGCGATGCAAAATTCTGAATTTGCACAATCAATGTGAAACTTAAATGTGAATTGGGCACTGAAAAATTGTTTTGTTCCAATATATTTGATATTTTTTCTGTAGGAAAATGGTACAAATTAATCCATTTTAAAAAAAGGTGGTTAACCTCAAGAATTACGAGACATAATACAAGTAGATATATGCACACCAATGTTCATAGCAGCACTATTTACAACAGCAAAAAGATGGAGACAGCCTAAGTGCCCATCAATTGAAGAATGGATTAAAAAACTGGTACATACACATATGTTACCTTGAAGAACAACAAGAAAGCTGTAAGTCATCACATAATATGGATGAAACTGGAGGACATTATGATGAGTGAAATTAGCCAGTTACAAAAGGAGAAATACTGCATAGGATCACTATTATAAAAGGCTAAGAAAAATAACCCATACTAAAAGGGTGGTGGTGGTGGTGGTGGAATTCTTTGCTGGTTACCAGTAAGTGGGGAGTGGGATGAGGAGAGGGAGGGGAAGGTGGAGCACAGGGTAGGGAATAGAGACAGGATAGTTCAGGTGCTGGGGAGGGGGGCGATACACTAGCATGGGGAGGGGAATGGAAGAACAAGGCAGATGGGAGAACAGTTAGGCAAGTTTGCATGTGCTAAGTGGGACAGAGGTAAATAATGATGTGTGCACAACCTTGGAACAACAGGGCTCTGGGATACAGGGATTGAGGCATGGTTTGAATGGGTAAAAGAGGGGAAATAATGTTAAGATGTTTGGATGTCTTTTGCATCTTGGTTTCCCTTGCATAACATTATAAAATAGACACTTGTGGGGGAGAGATAGGAACTGCCAGAAATATCACTATAGAAAAGTTGTAAGTCCATCTTCTGCCTATAACTGATTGGTATACCTAGAATGGGGCTACAACTTTCCCAGTGAGGGAGACTTTCTGTGGAGCCTCTGCATTACATAAGACCATAGGTGGAACCCTGAACCCTATCCAGAATCTTTTGAGGTGGGAAACTTCCACTTGAAAGAATAAGCAGACCAGCCTGGAGCACATAGAAGAACAGAAGATACTTTTTTGAAAGAAAGACCAACAGGAAAAATACAAAACAATAATGACAGTCCAACTGACTACTACAAGAACAAGCAAGTTGCTTGCCTAGGAGACATCAAGGCAACTGGTTGGGTCCCCTCAGGGCAAAGCCCCTTCCAAGACTAAAACTCAAGGGGAATACACAAGCAAACATATGCTCTGACTGGTGACCATGTTGGACACCAATAAGGGGAAATTAGGGAAAAACCACAATGAAGCTGTGAGCTGATCCCTACCACATTCAATAGACTCCTGTGAACTCAAGTGGAGACCTGGGTGGCCAGCAGTATGGCAAGACCTGGGGATCTGGGGCCCAGAGTCAGTGACATAGCCACAGAGGACTAGAGTGGAGAGTGAAGCATCCAGAGGATAAGAAGTGAGGCATATGCACAAGAACACCCACACTTGCAGATAATACCCACTTGACCTGGCTTCAATGACTGTATGATCAGAACTCAACTAGAAGAAGAAAGAAGAGGAAAAAAAAAAAGAGTAATCTGATACAATTTGATGAACTTGACCTACACTT